AAGAATTTAAAACCTAGCACAACAGCAATGTATAAAGGAAGATGCCTTCAAGAAATCTACTGGTCATCCGAAAGCCCTTGAGCTTGTGACTGACATCAAGATATGCCACTCTTCTTACTTTCTGTGGTCTTGGCAACCACAAGGAGTCCACTGGAGTAGTACCTATAAAAAGAAAATGTGTTACGTGCCATTTGGAAAAATGGCTCTGGTTATACCTTTGGAAGTGAGGTAATGAAATATCGGGGAGGGGGGGAGGGAGGGTGGTGAGGCGGGGAGGATCACTAAACTAGCCCACCCACTTCACTTGAAACCATGGTGTCTGGCTGCATTCCTTTGTAGTTCCAGCTCTCTTATCTCAGAACGGTGGTGCTGAGTAGTTTGGGAACCCCTGCCCTGGCATCACTGGCATTTTAGGCTCCATTTGCATCTGGTTGAATGGAGCCTGACCAAAGTACTTCCCCTCCTTAAAACTGATGGCTCAGCCATTGTTCTGTTATCTCCTCTAAAACGGAGTAGGGGCATTGCCTTATCCTCTCCCTTCTGATTATTCCTTCTACAACAAGCCAGCTGTCTCTTCTGGCTTAAGGAAGTACAGAGGCCAAAAGCTGGATGAGCCAGGTGATGTGGATATCCATAAGCAAGTTGTAGTTTACACTTGTTACAAATGGCTAATACAGAAAACAGACTTCTCTCAAATTGTCTGGTTGAACATGCTAAATTAAGCTCAGAGCAGTCGCCCCAAACCTGCAATTAATTTGAAGTTTGCTTCTGATTTGGGCCTGAAGAAGGGCTTGTGTGCCTGAAAGCTGCAAACACTGAAAGCACTGTTACTAAATCAGCTACTTGAATGAAAGATGCTGCTTTTCCCTGAAGTCCTGGCTCCCTTGCATGGCCTCCGTTGTGGCTGTAATTTTGCAGCTGCCATAGCACATATCAATGCTCTTTTTTACCCTGAGGCAAGCAAAATGCAAATCCAGGTCACGTGGGGTACAAAAAGCAGAAAAGTAAGGCATTAATGAAAAATGCCTTGGCCATGCTCCACTGAAGAACGCTTTCTGAAACGCCCTGTTGCCTGGCTGCTCCCGTGCAGAGCAGAGGGCTGGAAAGGCACAGGCTGGGCACTCGAGCTTTGTGAGGCAGCTTAAGGTGGCAGGAACTAACACTTGCAGGTCCTCCTGTGACAAAGAAGCTGGAGGTGCATGTGTGATGGTGAGGGGTGTTCGCGAAACACTTGAGAAGCTGGCTGCATGGGGAAGGGTCAAGTGTTTGCTTATAGCACTACATTCTTAGGTGCGAGATGCTTTTTCATGAGACCGTGGCTGGTATATAAGAGATGGTGCTGAAAGAAGTTTGCGTAATAAACTGTAATTAGAGGATACCATCGCCTGCTCTGTGAGAGAAACTGGACTTTTAAGGCTAAATGCTTCAATATGACTTCATGGTAATTTGGTTCAATCCTTTTTAGAAGCTATTCCCCATTTGAGACTCTTAATTCATTGTGCATTAACTTCTGTGACTGTGACAGCAATGGGTGTTAGACTTGATGTAACATATAAATTAATCAATGGGGACAAGTCTGCTGTTTAACACCCTCGTGCCACCTTCTCCCAAGGAGACGTTTGCAAAGTGGGGAAAAAGGTGTTCTTTGGCAAATGTTCAAATTGTATGAGTATTTAAATACATGACTGTGATCATCCACACTAGTAAACATTTGAGACTTCTTAGCAGCTTGATCTCTCCTGGACCTACTTGTTGCTTACTAACAAATAAAAGCTTGATCTGGACATGCAAGTCAATTCCAAGAACTATATGTGGCTGAAAACAAGTGCATGGCAGTGCCAGTTCTGGCTTTCCAGTCAACTGATTGCAGTGACTGATCTTGTATTTCTACGTCTGCTCTTGCTTGGTGTTTGGATTTTTGGGTTTTTTTTCCTTTTGGTCCCCCCTGCCCCGAAATGCAGTATTATCTGCTAGTGGTAAATTTCCACATGCTCACTATGGTTGCCCTAATGGATGTAACAGCAGGGCAGGCTTACAGTGAGGTAGTGGCTCTTCGGGCTCCGGTGTCACCACTCTTGGCCACACCTTGCCCAGCTGCGGAGGAAGCCTGACAAACACCCTTCGTGTGGTGCTTGGAGGCAGCTATAAGACACGGATATCTGATATGTGGCATTTGCACTTTGTACCAGGCGTGGATAAGGCTTCCAGCCCTCCTACCTTCAAGCAGGGAGGAGGACTAACATAGAAGTAAACCAAGAAGACTAAAGGTGAAAGAAAAAAGCCAAAGATGGCTCTAAAGATAAAGAAATGACAGGATCGGGCTCATAAAAGGAGAGAACATCTGCAACCTTCCAGGAACCAGCATAAGCAAAAAAATGGTTTCTTTTTATAACGCCTGAAATTGTCCAGCACCCCTTCTTGCCAGCAGTCCTTACGGGTGGAGGCATTTTTCCAGTTCTGTGGCACACTGGGCTGTTCCCCAGAACTGCTGAGCATTTCCTGACTGGTGAGAAGGGTAATGGCTTATGGCAGGCTCAGGGAACTGCAGGCTGGGTGAGGGCTGTGCCTTTACCTTACAGGACCTCTTCTGTCACACATCTGCTCTTTCTGCTCTTTGTGGTTGTGATAATAAGGCTCCCCTTCCCCTGCAAAGCTGGAGGAGTAAGCATGCAATGTGCCCTACCATGTGGAATAAACGCTGGGCCACCAGCCATCTCCTTTGGAAGCCACAGAGGTGCTGCGTGTGCTCCCTAGCTCTCAGATCTGGAGGCCACAGAGTAGATGTTGTGGCTGCGATGCAACAGTGGGAAGTTCCCAACAGGGAAGCCAGACGGCAGCACCACCTTCGGCAACCTTCTCTCTCTCCCATAGTGAACTTGTACTGGCAGAAGACCTCAGCTCATGCTCTCTGTGAAGACACCCTCCCCCCAATAATTTCTCCCTGCTCTACCTTTCAGCAAGTCTGGATTAGCCATTGCAGAAAAGACAAAGCAGGAGTACTGTCCCGTGTAACTAGAGATCCAAGTTCAAAATATTTGGCATTTCGGAAGAAGGCCAGAGTTTGTGTTGTAACCTAGCTCTCACAGAAGCTGTTAATTTTCTCCCAAGGTGTGTGCCAACATATAGCTTGTTTTGATGCCTCCAAACCATGCTGGCAAATGCCTAAGTCAGCAAGGAGCAGAGAGACTGGCCAGGTGGGTTGGGGGTGTGAGTATCTCCTGTTGCTGAATTCAGTAAGCCGTTGCGTTGGCCGCATATCCCAAATGGCCTTGTCGTGTGCAAGGACAATGGGAGAGCAGCTAATGTGGCTGAGCTTTGTAAAAAGCTTTAATTGTACTAAACTGTACTTACTTAATGAATTGTTTGCATACATTCATTTTTTAAACCTCTGGATCTTCTTTCCCTGTTGTAAAATGTAAGAAAGAGAGCTGTTGTACTTTTTTTCTGGATGTTTGTTTTCTGTGTTGGCAGCCGCTAATAACTTGCTTGCTTCATGTCTGAGATGAAATCCTGCTGTTTGTTGCACAACACCGCAGTGGGGACAGACAGAGAAAATTAAATGCTAAGCACTGAAGTAATGCTATGCAAACCTGTAAAAAAAAAAGACTAACTGCTCAGCTAAGGTGACAATAAGTTAATAAATATCACATTAGTAGTCCATCAAGGGAAGCCTGCGTGAAAAGGTGTTGGTAAGGTCATGTAGCCCATGAACTTCCCAAATATACCACTGAAAGAAAAAAAAATGTAACCAAATAAAGCCTGGCATGTGAGCATCTGCTGTATGAATAAAGGTTAACCCAGTAAAAATGCTTGACAGTAGATAATTGCCGCTGTGATAAGGAACAGATAAAATCTCTAACAAGAGCTGTCTGAGGGGGCTGCCTGGTAAAAGACCCCAGTGGGTGCTGTGCGATCACTGGTGTGCAGCGCTGGGCCGTGTCCCTGGAATGAAGGGGCTGCTACAAGTGCCAGCTGGAAACAAGAGCCTGGCTGGGGGAAAGGTGCGTTTTGGAGCAGCCAAGTTAATCCTGGTTTGTGGGGACACAGCGGCGAGCCAGCCTGTGCTTACCTGGTGCACCCCGAGTTGCCAGGAGAAGGCACACGGGACACGGAGCAGTGAGACCGAAGTCGCTTTTATATCGCAGATCCCTACGGGGACGACCGAATCCAAGTCAAAAGGCAATCTGTCGTGGGATGCTGGAGAGCTGACATTTACGGAGTGCCCTTTGCTTTACGACGCGAGGCCTGGGGACTGCCGTGGCTGTACCACAGAGACAAGGAGGCGCAACGGAGACCTGCACGCGGAAATTTTGATGCTAGCCTTTTGCCTCGTGCCTCTGGAAGTCTTTTGAGGCTTTACAGCGAGGGGAGTGAAAGAGGGCATGGCACGCCGAAGGCCCTGGATTTGTGGATAACCAGGGAAATGCTGCAGGAGCTGTGGAGAAAGACCCCCGGCGCTGGAAGCCAGGGCCGAGGCCCAGTGGACGCCTAAACCACGGCAAGGCGAAGGCAGGCAGAAGCCGGGCCTTTTGGAAATCAACCTCTCCGGCCACGGCGGAGAGAAATCTCTTCTCCCTGCCTGCAGCTCTTGGAGGGGGGAGCCGAGCCGAGCCGCCCCGGCTCGAACAACCGCTGCCGTCCGCTGCCGGCCCTGGCCTCGCAGCACCACAGGGAGACGAGCCCCAGGGCCCCGGCCTCCGCCGGGGGGG